GTTCCGCATGTCCTCCCAATTCCGCAGTTCTGCACATTCCGTGGTTCTGCATTTCTGCGTCATGTATGAACACGGCCTTACGACTTTTGAAGGAGAGAAATCCATCACAACGGGTGACGAATTTATGCAGGCCACCTCTGCACCACGTCGATGGAGAAACGAAGCAACCATGAGAAGAATTCGGGGATGTTTTGAGAGAGGATGGGAAATAATGGGCAGAAAGTGGTCCGCGCGATTTTGAGCTTCACCAGATTCCTTTTCGTCATTTTTGATTCAATAACTCAATAATATTTCTTTTCATTGATACACACTGCACCTTGACAAGCCTCTAGGCTCTAGTCCTAATTAACCTAACCGTTAGCGTAAACCTTGGAGAAATAACGATGAAGATATTAGATTATACTGTAAACGTTGCATAACCCTACTTGTATAACAAAATCAACAATTTATTTCAACAACAACAGAGTTACTTCTTAGAGTCGAAGTACTGTTGTAAAACTTGTTTCCCAATCTCTTCGTTGCCGTAGTCCTTGACGACAGCGCAGGAGCATCCAACAACTTTACGAGCCTTTCCTTCCTTGTCGTACTTGCAAAGACCGCACCACTCTCCGATGATTTTCTTGTCTGCTACCTTGATGAGCGGGATGTTGTGCTCATTGCATAAAGCTTCCACCAGTTTCACGTACATTGGCTCGTCACAGTTCTCAGCAAGGACACAGAAATGTGCCTCACGCCTGAAAAACACAACCAGATCGTTTTCAGAAATGAATTGCAATGATTAGTATGTGAAGTTGTTCGCCTCCTTTGGCACCCGACAATGTGAACGAGACAGAGCGGATGTGGCAAGTCAGCACATTTTCTTGCACACGACAGGTAGAGAACAGATCAATGAGAGATCAAATACTCTGTTTTTGTGTGCCTCAACAGGAATAGCAACCAACTTACTTGTCGAGAGCCTTGGCTGCCTCATGAAGACCTTTAGCAAGTCCATCCGCAAAGTTAGCAGAGCGCAGAACAGCTTTCAAGGCGGCCTGCACGTCCATAACCGGGGGAGCGGCTGCCGATGGGATCTTGACTTCATCTCTATAAATGGCAGTATGAAACAGAGTACTGGAACAGCACAATAAAATACAACAAGATACACGCACCCTCCTGCGTCAGCCATGTTCCTCAGCAAGAGTCCTCGATGACCTACTGAAATTTACAGCAATCACCTCCTCTAGCATGCCAAAGGAACGAGACGCACACAATATCTACAAGAACCGCAGAGCGTATACAAGTGATAGGGTCAGAAGTGAGGAGAAGTAATCCCCAATGTAGAGAAGCGAGTCGAAGATGCAATTATTCAAGACTACTTCTTACCGAGAAACTTATGTGATCATATAACAAAACCCGCAAGCGAAGCACTAGTCAAAGAACTATTCCTACTGCGCTTCTAGAGAACTGCAAAAAGGCAAAAACAACAAAAGGTTCGACACCTTTGATGCCAACTTTCTAAACGTTCATAAGATAGAGGAAAGTACAAGAAAATCGCCATGATCGAAAAGGAAAAGGTACAAGTGACTCGCGTCAAAAACTTATTAGGACAAACACAAGCCTGCCTCTGAGAGGATGCAATTCTCGTCTCATTTCTAACAGCTTGAGAGCATTTCTGATGGAGAAACTCGAGCTATAAATACCTTGGGAGGGCATAGTCATCCCGCCATAGGCAACAAACAACGGGCGGGCGGCTGGCGAATAAAGTGAATGAACCTCCCAAGACCGGAAAAAAAACTGCTACAGCGGGAACTCTCGTCATTGCATCCCAAAACGACTTCGCTGCGTATCGACATTATTAGTAGGCACGCCTTGGGCGCAGAGCTGACGCGCACAAAACATGGAGGCGGCGCTGCTTGTCGCTTGGAGCGGCGCCAACACAGTCGCACTTCGGGGGTGGAGCGGACCCAGCACACGAGCAATGTGGCCGGACCACATAAGCCGATGTATCACTTTTCAGGCCAGTGTCAGGACAAAGGAAAGCAAGGCCCTGATCAGTTGGTGACACTGAAGAAGCGACGAATCGAAGGAATGCAGAATTGACGAAAAAACATTGGATAAGTATCCACGATTTGACGAATTGCGGAAACAGAGGGATCTAATCGAATCCTTTTCGTAAATTCTGCATATCGTCGTGCATTTCTTCACAGGCTAGTGCCGTTTGGACTCCAGAAATTTCGGCTCCGAGCTCATTTTCAAATTGCCTAAGTCACCAAATCCACTAAAAACTTGTATATAGGGGTAATTCAACATCCTGATTACGAGTATGACAGTTCTTTCTGCTGGCGCCAAGAGAGGGCACTACGATTAGCTCCTGGGCTCAGCCTTAGCAGAGCGCAGGTAACCGTAGTGTCATCCATTAGCGCCAGCGCCAAAAATGAATGTCATATTCGTGATCAGGATGTTGAATTACCCCTATATACAAGTTTTTAGCGGATTTGGTGATCTTGCCACTTTTAAAATGAGCTCGGAGCCGAAATTTCTGGAGTCCAAACGGCATTAGCCTTCTTCACATCGATACCCCGTCTAAGGCTGCGTTTATACTTTCGCGAGCAGCGCGGAAGCGTAGCAGTGCAAGCGCTTTCCAGGCTGGCGCAGCCGGCAGTGCTGAGGAGAGATTGCATGATCGATCTGCGTTCCAGCAGTCCCAGCGCTCACGCTAGCGTTACGCCACGCGTTTCTCGCTCACAGCGTTTCACCAACTTTGCTAGCGTTTGCAGCGGCAGGGGAGTAGAGACTATGGGAGAGCTGGAGGGTACAAAACACATCGATTGCGCGTCTCTCACTCGCCCTCAGTCTCTACAATACACATCGATTCTGCGTCTCTGACGGCCACATAGTCTCTACAATACACATCGATTCGCGTCTCTGACGGCCACATAGTCTCTACAATACACGTCGATTCCGCGTCTCTTACGGCCACATAGTCTCTACTCCCTGCCGCTGCAAACGCTAGCAAAACGCTGGTGAAACGCTGGAGAAACGCTGGCGTAACGCTAGCGTACGCTAGCGTGACGCTGGTGACGCTGGGAACGCTAGATCGATATGCATCCTCTCCCAGCACTGCCGCTGGCGTAACGGACGCTACGTACGCTGCCGCAAAGTATAAACGCAGCCTAACGCTTCTCGTCAATTTTTCAGTTCTGCATTTCTTCGCAGTAGCTATGAACGACTGACCATTGCGGTTCAACACATACATGTGTGCTTCTGAGAGAAGGGAGGGAGTGTATTGGTACTGTAATGGTGAGGCGATTTTCTCAGAAGAATGCGGGCAGAAGCCAGCAATAACGGGCTCACCTTCACTTCCACCCGGACATTTGAACACTATGAGCGCGCGTCACCGTGGTCCAGGGAAAGAACGGTGCGCACATGATCCCTGGCATAAAATACGCGTCAAGGTCGAATTTCGAGCCTGGCGAAAAATGCAAAACGTTTGAGTTGTTTTTGTTCATTTTCTTGTTCCAGTTGGCCACCGGATTTAATTAGGTTTCAATTTTTAACAAGGTGAGAAACCGTGGAGTTTTGCACTCTTCCCGTTCACATCCGCGTTCCATGCGCACGTCCTCCAGACGCCTGCTTTCAGAAGCACGCGTTGAAGGTCGGGGAGAATTAGCTACTGCAGAATTCGTCCGTCATGGAAGAGATGATACCCGCATCGTTCAGTTCTTCCTGAACTTCTACACGCCTTCCAGGTTGTCCAAAAATTTTCCAGTTCTCTGCAGGAAGAATGCTGGCGCGTTGAAGGGAGTGAGGGAAAGGAATTATTAGCCGCACTGTAAAGCCAGTGAAAAATGAGCACACGCGAAAAACGATCTCCTCTAAGCGCAAAGACACTCCGTTCGCAGTGACCACATAGCCGACCTTGCGGAGAACCCCACGTAGCGACAAGTTGTGTTTCAAACCGAAACAAGGACCGTTGCATACATAAACGAAGTGAATCTCAATATGCAAAGCTAAGCAATACTACGCCAGCGAAAATACCGGGCAATCCTTTCGCACAAGCTTTCATAGTTGTCGCTTTGAGTCCGTAAACTCGCCTTACTGTGAAGATATCATTTAGGTGATCATGTCCGATCCAAATAGCAGTCACCCACAGACTGTCGAGGAATGTAATCATGCTATGGAAGCCATTATGAGTAAACTAGTGGATCGTTTGCATTTCGAGTCGAAGATTCTAATCCATGGACAAGAAGACGTACTCACTCTATCGGAATACGAGGTTAGTGAGGGCTACTCGATTTTTGTGACTATCAAAAGAGGAAGCACTATCATTCTGCTAGAAGGAGTTAATGCTGAGGAATGATACATAGAGATTTTTACGTGCAGGACTATGTTAGTAGCACATACAGTCCTGTTCGCTGCGGGAGCTGAGCCGTTTTGGAGGGGCCGGGTTTGGCGTGGCATCAGTCCGTTTCCCTCCAAGTGTTGTCGCTACCCACTCCAACAATTCGAGGAGAACGGAATGGCGTCGAACCAAGCCCAGCGCCCCCTGCTATGCTGCAGCGCAGCAACGAGACTTTAGGAAGCGAAGAACTTTAGGCTGCGTTCATACTTTGCGACAGCGTCCACTAGCGTTTGCCGCGTACAGCAGGAGTGGAGAGTATGGCGAAGTAGGAGGGTAGCAGACAGCTGGATTAGGCGTCGTGGAACCTCACCCTATGACTGCTAAAGCGCAGAACTACGCATCTTGATGTACGGTGTAGTGCAGTTGTACGGGGCTAATGCCGTTTGGACTCCAGAAATTTCGGCTCCGAGCTCATTTTAAAAGTGGCAAGATCACCAAATCCGCTAAAAACTTGTATATAGGGGTAATTCAACATCCTGATCACGAATATGACATTCATTTTTGGCGCTGGCGCTAATGGATGACACTACGGTTACCTGCGCTCTGCTAAGGCTGAGCCCAATCGTAGTGTCCTCTCTTGGCGCCAGCGCCAAGAATGAGTGTCATACTCGTAATCAGGATGTTGAATTACCCCTATATACAAGTTTTTAGTGGATTTGGTGACTTAGGCAATTTGAAAATGAGCTCGAGCCGAAATTTCTGGAGTCCAAACGGCATTAGCCGTTGTACGGTGCGGTTGCACAAGCCGCAATTTCACGACTCCTAATTCAGCTGTCTGCTACCCTTCCACTTTGACATGCTCTCCACTTCCCGACGCTGCTACACGCCGGCTGGTGGACGCTAATGGACGTTGGCTAGATCGATATTTCATACTTTTCTTGTCGCCGACGCTGGCGTTCTCTCGAAACGCTGGTGGTCACTGGTGGACGCTGCGGCAAAGTATGAATGCAGTATTATGGAAGACAAGTTCGTAGGCAAACTGTTGACTGTTGTTGTGAACTCGGGTGCCTTTCAGTCCGCTCTACTGTTATCTATGGCAGTGTCCTCTTTCCGTTGCATGTAGCCATTACGCATCCCACTCCCTCCCCCATCTCCCCTAGCCCCCCCCCCTAACAGAGGGTTGTGGAGAACACATATTCTTCTCACAGCGTTCACTTTACTATCGTTATCACATTTCGGTAATGGGATTACTGAAATTCGGTTGAAATAGTTAAAGGGCACTGGGGCATATAATGGGCTTACAGATTTGTGGCGTATTGTTGTGGTCAGTGTTAAGGCTGCGCTCGCAACGAGCAATTCAGTTGCTTGAGTAGAGCGACTCGGTGGTTCCACGTGTGGATGTGAATCTCCAGTCGCGGAGGATGAACGCATCCCTGACTAAATTGGTTGGCGTCATCCAACAGTTAGTGAACACGGTGGTAGGAGTGGCATTGTTTCCTACTGAATTCTTAGTGCAACCAGGAAAGGACTTCAGTCTGACTCACTTACTCCAGAACTACCGTACGCTGTGCAAAACCCATTAGAAGTCATCTTTGGCCTTGAGAGAAATTCTCTGGGCTGTTTGGTTTTCTCGTCCCCGCACGCTATATCCCCCTTTCTTTCTAGTTTTCGGCCCAGCGGACATACTTTCAGGGCACGTCGAAAGATGGCGATCCCAGCGGGAGGAAGCGCATTGAATTGCTTGATGGAGGCGGTCGTGATTGGTATGAGAAAAAAAATTCTCGATAGTTGTTTCTTCATGTTTCACGGGCGCAATCCTCATCGTTGGGAGGATTAGAATGGAGAGGAAGGGGTCATATTCTCCGACCTTCATTGCCTGACTAGTATCCCTGGGGCCGTAAGCTATACTTCCCCTCGAAGGGAGATATCCCCGCAAACCTTCGCTCTCAGCAGTTATCTTCATCGATGCCCCTCACCTCTCTGCATCTCTTCCCTGCATCTTTGCTCACCCCACTATCTCGGAATCTCCCCCAACAACATGTGCCGGGGGACAGGGGAGTATACACATTATAGTGGCGAGAACTTGAGAGACGAGAGACATTAGTAGATAACGGCAGATAGGCTGATGTTTTTGGTCTATGCGTTCGAGGATCAATCTCAGAGTTTTCTCTGCAGAAGAGATCATGTAAAATTGAGAAAGTACGGTCATGTTTAAACCTTTCAATCAGCCAAGTTTTTTGTGCAAGGTCTTTGTGAACTTGCACCTGTGGCTTGATCGGTAGCCTTGATGGAGGGAAATATCTTCAATGTGGAAATCATAAGAACAAGTGCAACCTAAATATTGACAAAGTAACCACCTTAGGCACTTTAGGCACTCTTCGCCGCCGATATGAAGATATGTGAAAACGCTCTCGATGTTGTTTTAGATCTTGCTAGAAAACGGAAGTCATATTTGGAAGCGGTAGTAAGTATCTAGACTCGTCTTGGTTTCAATCTCGCTTTGAAATTTGTTAGAGCACAGATGAAGACTGAGATTTGAAAGGAAATTTGGTAGGTCAAAACGAGCATTTAAAAGTGGGATGCATTCTGTGTCTAGTTCGTTTTTGGATATTGGTCACAAGTCCTTCTTCCACTTTTATAATCTACTTGGTGCCACTTTTTTGTTTCTGAAACCAGCTGAATACGCTAAATTTGTCGCAAACAAAAATCAAAGCAGTGTTGCCAGCGAAACGTTCGTAGTTTGGCACATATGAAATAAGGACACGTTGGCGCCCTATGCATTTGACCAGGCCTGAGGAACTGCCGTAATTTTTAAATCCACGACGGAGCCAAGTGGCTCCTTTAAATATGACTATTTACATTTACCCTGAATTTGAAAGGGTTCCATTGCTTTGTTGTGGTGGTCACTCGATCCTGTTGGTCACGGCGCGCAATGACCCTTCTTTAGGATTATTTAATGAACTGGAGAATTGAATTACCATTCGTCGAACCGCGTTCAGACTTCGCGATGGAGCGATCCGATGCACGGTCGCGAAGCCTGAATGCGGTCTTAAGCATATCAACCCTAGATGAGATAGGGTCACATTTGAATAGTACCCACCCACTACTCTCTTTTAAAAACTGCCGAACTAGTGCACAGCGTTGTCTTTTTGGCATATATCTTTAATGGAAAAATATATTATAAAATTCCTGGCTTGTTAGCCATTGGAAATCGAATCTATTGATATTTGAAGGTTGCTGCGAGGCGATTTGAGCGGTCCTTGCCATCGACCGTGACTAGTGCGTTCATTCAAACAGCTACAGAGACTAACAAAGCGCATGGTGAGTAATTCTAGTGATACAACACTTGCAACATGATTTTTGTGAATTTATTTTTTCAGACCTACGCGTTAGATTGAAAGAAGGTGACTACTCTTTCTTTGTACCCGCTTATGCTCAAGGGGATAGTATGGCGAACACGGTCCCGCTCATGGGTGCGACCACGATTGCTGCAGGCAAACCTGATCATTCGAATAGTACTGAGAGCAGAGTTTCCAGGTGACAATAATACTTTTTCTAATTATTTGATCGTTTTTTTTTTTCTCAAATCACGGAGGGACATTTCTAGTAAAGAACCACATCTGAAGTTTTTTAAGTTTCCTGCCTTTTCGTCTACGTTAGATTTCAGCTACTTGTCACTATGATTTTTTTCTCTCTTCCCCCCTTTTTGTACATTCGCAAAATATGACGGGGCCTAACGTAGCTCGTAGGTTGGGGTAAAATTCACTACCACCACGTCTGAACCTGTTTTTGTTGAGCATGCTCAATTAAGAGCCATTCAGTGACCACATCACACCAACCCAGTAGAGGACCGGCAACATCGGAAGATCCGTGAATCGGGACAATGCTCATGCTATTCACTTCCTCGGATTCGCTACTGGGCAGGATGACCGATTCCCGAAGAATCCTTAACTGCAATATCCAGTTCCGCAGACTATAATTTTACAACGTACCGATGCATTCTGTTCCAAAGGACCTCATCTTCTAGGCTCGTAATGGACTCGGTAGGGGCTAGTGCACGCTGTTTCCACTCTAGCAGACCACTCCGGCACTTTTTTGCTTTGGATAGTTGAGGCGTTTATACTTCGCGAACTGGGGTTGTGATCGCGCGATCAGAGCGATCGGTGCCAGCAATCACCGATAGCGCGAAGCCCAAGTCTAAATCCTATCTTAGATAAGTCAGTTTTAACCGCTGTAATCACGCTTATAAAGAGTTCTTTACATCTTACAGCATTTGAAATACGAAAAAGAGAGGTCTAAATCCAAGGAAAAGTTGAATCGCTCCCAAAATATCCATGGGATGAAAATTCCAGTGCGATTTCACATGTGCATTTCTAACTTTTATCCTAATGCATACTTCGAGGGAACTCTCTTCCACTGCATATGAGCAGTTCGGTTGTGTTCGAATAATTGCTATAAAGTTATTCTTTTTCAGTAATAGAAGCACTGCTTTTTCGTCTTGCCTGGCTAAGGATCCCTATGTAGTTCCTCAGATTAGAGAGAGTGAGTTGCTCTTCATCCCCTTCATTATATTATTAGTAGGTGGTTTTAAGTTGGGCAACGAGTTCGCTATTGCCTTTATACTACATTCATCATGGTTTGTAACCAAAATTTTCTAGTATGGGTTTCTGCAACCTGCAACTCATTTAAGGACCACAGTACGCATCTGATGCAGCCCGTCGTTTTCTGAGCAAAATGGAGACTATCGAACCGGAGGTTTCTACGATAGCGGAGATTGAGACGTGAGTTAGCTTATCATTTAGGTGGTTTTTCATTTTGAACCTTTTTCGTTGCGGATATACATAGCTACGTTATAAGTTGTTCTTTGAAAATAAATAACTTGAAGCGTGCAACAAGAGCAGAAGACGACAAAATCGAACGACTTCTCCGTGGGCCGCGAACACAAGTCAGGTGAGTGGCCTCCTCCTACAAACTAAGGGAACGATCTCTGACACCCCTGATCGAAACCGTGAGCTGTAACGACGAATAGTGTGGTAGTTTTGAAATTTGGTTCCAGAAACCATGAACATCAAGCAAATATCATCGTCAGGCGGTTGTTCTCTTGATGGTTCTTTAATAGTGGATGGTGGTGAAGTTAGCGATCAAAACGGTAACTTTTGATGAAAAATTATTCTTTTAGTGTGCAAGCACGCCAATTTCTGGCAAACATTGCTGTTTGCGATCTTTCATGCAGAAATAGACCTTCTTAGATTGTTGTTATCGTTGCTGAAATATGTCTGTTTATTGAGGTATACGCACCTATTCACCTGTGCGTGAGATTCCTCCACCGCCCAACTTCGACGATACGGATATGGAGTCGTTTTGTGAGGTAATTGTTCGAAAGCTCATGTGTTGAAGCTTAGTTGAAGGCAGTGCCCGCGTTCAGTTGTGGTTTTCCTCTCCCTTCGTGAGCAGGTAGCCAGGTTCGCAGAGGCAGCGATTACACCACTTTTGCGGCGCAAAACGAGTGAGGAGGCCCACGATACCGTCGTTCCTCTCATTGGCCCAACCCCCTATCATTGGCACCGCCCACCGTCATTTCTAATGGTTGCCTGATGGTGCGGTTGTTCTGCTACTAACTCTCTCTCCACTTCGAATGGTGAGAGTGAGGTGATAAGGGAAAACAGCTGATACCAACAAGTAAGAACTCGTGCGACCACAGCCATCTTTTCGCCTTATCCACGTACAACCTTTAACCATCAGTTCGGATGATGTTCTATATGGGACATTTCCGGCGGGTTTTTCTGCTTTTTTTTCTTCACTGCTGGATCATTTGCTACCTTGCTATTACTATCTGAGCCGCATAACTCATCATATTGAACGCGGGCTCAGCCCTTAAGGTATGAAAACGAGACGAGCTTGCTTTGTTTCCATCAGCTGCTTTAGAAGGAAGTAGCATGAAAAGCTGCAGTCGCGACTATCTTGTGCTTGGCCGAACCTGATAACTTTGATTGCGGCATTTTCATAGTTCGTTGTATGGCCATTCTAAAAGTAGTACTATTAGAAATAATATTTACACTTCTTATCTTGAAATCAAACAGCAAAGCGGTTGAAAACTGCAGTGCAGGATGGAATCCGTTTGCGAGAATGCTGTTTGAGAGGTTGAGAGGTAGTGAAGCTTTTTTTCCTTCAGCCTATCCCGGCCCGCTCACAGTCTCTCAATAGTCGAAAAACGAGCAATGAAGTCGCCTACGCAGGAGAAGAAAAGAGAATGCGGCCCGAATGTCCAACTATGGTGTTGAGAAGTACAGAGAATACTGCAAATCCGATTCTTAATGAAGATGTTAAGGTAAGTACATAGATTTCGAGACATTTTGCGGCAACGAACTGGGTTTCCCTCTGTATAAAGCTGGCGTTTTTTTTGGGTGGGGAAGCACATAGCCACATTTTTTGTTGGCTCTGAAGACAAATGTATTCACAGTAACATAGCATTTTGGCCAGTCGCTCAAGTAGATGTCCTGGACCTTCTCTTTATTTCGACACTGGGGTTACCGTAATTAGTGTTTGCAAGTTCCTAAACTTTTTGAAATAAGAATTCGCCCTCTGTAGTCATTGGAAAACTTTTCGAACCGCGCGCTGAAACACAGGAAATGGGCGATCAGCCCATAGTTCTGACGGTTGATGTTGGTCATATCGGTACTGCTTCACGTGAATTTCATACAGATTATAGCCTAGTTCGCCGTGTACGAGTGGGCGTGTTAGGCGGAGTTTGGCGCGGTGCGAAACACGTTCTCCACTAGTTGCTGAAGCGAACAAATGACAAGACTGTATCATATCGTTCGTATCACTCGCTTGCTACGACCTTTGTCGCATACCCGCTCCAACAACTGGACAGGGAACGGTTTTGGTGCCGTGGCACACTCATACTGACACGCCCCTACATACCTCAAGTTCTTCGAAAGTACGATCCCTTAGACCGCGAACTTGAGCTTTTACTTGTGAGGCTACTTTAGTCTTTGATTCGGTAATATGTTGCCGAAGTGTGTATTTTTCATTTTGTGACGAACCTGTTACTCAAAGAAAGTATACGGGAAGTTTCGTTTACCCAGTGATATATATTCCGCGAAGGTTATTGTAACAGTAACATTGAGCTTTTCAGCCACCCTCAGAGTCTGCTGCCAAGCCTATATGGCTGTCATCGGCGTACCAACCACCACGGAGACCGAAATTTACCTCCTCTGTGGGCCGCATGTTTAATCAAGAGTGACTCGGAATCCATTGCACAGCATTAACTACTAAATACAGTTTCGTTTACCCAGTGATATATATTCCGCGAAAGTTATTGTAACAGTAACATTGAGCTGTACTTTGTACCAAATAGTAACTTGAATGTAAATATAATTCTATTCCATCTACACTAATCTGTAGTGTGGTTTGTACATGTGCAGAACAAAAGGAACACCGAGGATTTGGGGACATCCCGCCAATGCTTCTTTTCCTAGTCCTGCTTGTCCAGCCAAGTTCATCGTTTAAAAAGTCACAATATGAGGTGATTCTTTATAGCACCAACAACAGCGTGTGCTCAGCTATTTACTCAATTTTTAGATACTCCAGACGTGTAATTCCTGATTTAAATGAGAGATTCTACGATGAGAGGCAATCCGGTGACTACATCAGCACACAATATGACTAGAATCAATACATTCACGTCGACAATGAAAGAATTTGGCCATAGTTTGAAAAGAATTGTATCAAAATCTACACAAAGAGGAAGGCATAGGTGTAGTCCAAGAAGTCCGTGTCGCAGTTTTGCGCGAAAAGTAACAGTATCTCATAGATTGTTGGCTTCACACACTGCGGTATTGCCGGTTGAACCAACTGTATCCTGGTGCGAATGCCGCGCACGTGAAGGATCCCTTCGTCGCCCGCGACTCGGACGTCCTTGAATTCACCCGGAAGGCATGCATCGTTACCAGTGTACAAGGCTTTTTCTCATCCTAAGCATGAGAATATGATCTTGACTAGATTCACAAGAGGTAAAAACAACTAGTAGTGAACAACTACTTTGAGCCCAAGCAAATTCCGTGACTATACAGTGTTACTATACCGTTTACACCGGAATGAGGGAAGAGCCGCGATATCCGACCATTTTCTTTATATCATCCGGTGTCAGTCCACCCGTTCGAGCACCAGTACCGTCCTTTTTACAATGTTGGTCTTGCAGCGACATCAACGCACATTCAACAAGTGTTGGTGGCTAAATGGGTAGACATATAATTATAGTAATGGTTTTTGTACGTTCATGACAAAATGGAACGTTTTGAGTGGATGTCCTTAGTCATATTTTGCAATCAGGGTTATAAGGGTTCTTTATACGTGACGCTCGTGGTCGCTGGTGGACGCTGGCGTTCGCTAGATCGATACCTGTACTTTCCTAGTCGCTGACTTTGACGGACACTCGAAAAGCTGGTGGACGCTACTGCAAAGCATCAACACAGACTAAGGCGCATTGTAGGCAGTAGCAAGGGTGCAAGAGGCGCCTTGACCATTACTCCAATAGAATACAGCACAGGTTCACGAGGCTTAAGGCTTGACTGATTAGGGATGTTTTGTGGGACAAAACGTGAACTGGTACTTATGTGTTCATGGACTAAGCCTTCTAGTGAAATCACTCATATAGGTTTTCATGGAAGTCGAATTCGTGGCACATGCTCAGGGAATTACTCATCATCGACCCATTTTGATCGTACACCGGCTAAACTATCCAAAACATCTAGTTCAGAAATGTATTCATTGGGTTACCTCTCACAAACCGCGCGACTGCATATAGCGGCGTTCATTTACAGACCTACTCGTCAAAAGACTCACCAGGCGAGAGAAAAAAGAAAAAATGTCATTCAGAACACCCTAGTTAAGCACTCACGGCAGCTCCACTGTAAGAGTTCTCCGGAACTGCTTGTTTTATGCCAGAAAAGCGATATTAAGCCGCCTCTAGCTCATCAGTCGTTTCTTCTCGTCATCCACTGCCAATAGCATTTCACAGTAAAAACAAAAACGTGGTGTAAAAATTAAACTCGTGCCAGGAAACAACCATTAAGTTTTGGTGGGTGGGACAATAGGGAGGCGTCAGTATTACCACTTACAAGGGCCGCAGCGCTTTCATTACTTATGGTGGAGCCGCGAAGGTGGGATAACCTTGAGATTGCAGGTCAGAGTACTTGTTCAAGGAAGCACGCCCGCGAATTGCTTGAGCGCTTAGACCGTTTTTTAAGAGTAGTAGTGGGATCGAGTATACCTGCAATGGAGCAACTGCAACCGCTCGAATGCCTACTACAACCAAGGTGTTCTCTCCAACAATGGTGTAGAACATACGATCAACACCTCCCGAGAATAACGCCCATCCCCGTCGTTCGCAAAGAAATTCACATTTTTCATGATCTGAAAATGCGATTAGTGAATTCTTATGGTTATGCATGTTAATCAAATCATTAGAAATGGTGGCCTGCATCAAAAGAAAAAGATCAACTGAGTATGATTGTATTAGGTTGTCCGGAAAGTTCTCAGCGTTTTGAGTGTTTCACTTTAAACGATCATAACTTTCTTAATACTCATCGGATTTAATCGAAATAAGCACCGTTCGAATCAGCACACTTTTGCCAATGTGACACCAGTCGATAAATCCCATCAAAGAAAAACT